AGTAGCGTCGAGAACACTGTCCAACCATCTTGTCCTCTGTTGTCCCCTTCTCCTTGTGCCCTCAATCTTTCCCAACATCAGGATCTTTTCCAGGAACTCTTTTCTTCTCATGAGGTGGTCAAAGTATTGGAGCCTCAGCTTCAGGATCTGTCCTTCCAGTGAGCACTCAGGGCTGATTTCCTTCAGAATGGATAGGTTTGATCTTCTTGCAGTCCATGGGACTCTCAAGAGTCTCCTCCAGCACCATAATTCAAAAGCATCAATTCTTTGGCGATCAGCCTTCTTTATGGTCCAGCTCTCACTTCCATACATCACTACTGGGAAAACCATAGCTTTAACTCTACGGACCTTTGTTGGCAAGGTAATGTCTCTGCTTTTTAAGATGCTGCCTAGGTTTGTCATCACTTTTCTCCCAAGAAGCAGGCGTCTTTTAATTTCGTGAACGCTGTCACCATCTGCAGTGATCATGGAGCCCAAGAACTCACTGTCTCCATTTCTTCCCCTTCTATTTGCCAGGAGGTGATGGGACCAGTGGCCATGATCTTAGTTTTTTTGATGTTGAGCTTCAGACCATATTTTGCGCTCTCCTCTTTCACCCTCATTAAGAGGTTCTTTAATTCCTCCTTACTTTCTGCCATCAAAGTTGTGTCATCTGCATATCTGAGGTTGTTGATATTTCTTCCGGCAATCTTAATTCCGGCTTGGGATTCATCCAGTCCAGCCTTTCGCATGATGATTTCTGCATATAACTTAAATAAGCAGGGAGACAATATACAGCCTTGTACTCTTTTCCCAATTTTGAACCAATCAATTGTTCCATATCCAGTTCTGACCTCAGCTTCTTCTCCCACATAGAGATTTCTCAGGAGACAGATGAGGCACTCCCATTTCTTTAAGAACTTGCCATAGTTTGCTGTGGTCGACACAGTCAAAGCCTTTGACCTTATCTTACTGCTTTTATAAAATAAAAAAGCAACATAGGGGCATTTTGTTTTAAGACAACAACTAACTGGCCTATGAACAGTCTAGCCAAGGATCCTATTGGTTCCCCCCTCCCCACTTTTTTTTAAATCTAAATTGAGCTTCTTGGTCAGAGTTTTAGTTTCTTTTCACTGTTATCCTCCCCCCCCTTTTGCGAAAGCCCCCACCCAAAATACTCTTCTTCCCATTGCCTTTGTACCTAGCATTTCCCTCTCCCCCCTCCCTTCCCTAAAAGGTTTGATGATGCATTGTGATTTTCCTTTTCTACAGGGGCTTTATGAAGGGAGCTGGAGGGAGTTCTCATTAGTCTCACTGACATCTTTTATCACTTATCAGAGGAACAAGCAAACGGAGAGCGATTCCTTTGATCATGGCAAAAGGAGAAAGAGTATTAAAAACTCTATGAAGATTTGCTAAGTAGAAAGTGGGAAAGACAGTCTGTAGCGTGTTTCAAAGAAAGAAACATGATTTAAAGTTGCCAGATTTGCTTGTATGTATTAAAGAATTGTTAATGATGCTGCATCCTATGTGTGCATCCTTTATCCCCCCCACTTTCTTTTCTTTTCTTTCTTTAAACAGGCAAACAAGCGCTCTTCAGCGGTAAGGGCAGGTGATATCAATGGGAGTGAGGGAGGAAAAAAAGATACCTTGAAAGATGGGTCGTCTCAAAGGGATTTGCGGGTTTTTGGTGGGGAAATGGTTGAAAAACAAAAATAAAGCTAGGAAAGTAGTGCACGATTGAGTTCTCATGGGAGAGCTGGGCCTGAATGCCTTCAAGGTTCTTTTTCCTTTGAGAGAAAGGTAGGATTCTTGTTTTATTTTATTGGGTGTTAGCGGGGGAGAAATGTCTGCAGAAATGGGAACATCTTGTCGTTATCTTCCTGAGCTCAAGGGCCCTCAACGCTCAAAGGGACCTGGAGAGAAAGGCTTGTCTCTTCTCAGTATTGCAGGTGAGAATAAAGTGTTGCCATCTAGGGAAAGGACCATTTCGCTGAGCTGATTTCCCCCCAACATTATCACCGATAGTGGAGCCGATTTCTGGTCACACCCACCCACCATTAGCTCTGATATTGGAAGCATCAGTGCAGGGCCAGCATCAGCACCCGGCATCCTTGGGCAGTTGCTGGGCCCCCAGTACCATGGCAAGGTCCACTACTGACATCTCCCTCCTTTGCCTCCCCTTTAATTTTTTCCCCCAGCCCTGTTCTGTGAACAGCACTAGGTGGCCAGTCTGCTATTTAAATCCCCCACAATGCCCGAGAGCAATACTACGTCAGGGGTATGGTGGGAAATTTCAATGGCAGCTAGTCCCAGATGCCTGGCACGCCTCAGATAAGCTGTTTACGACCTACTGATTGGACAAAATGGGCCCGGAAGAAGCTCAGTGGCCATGTCACCATGACACAAAGTGAGGTCTCTGCTGCAAGAATGGATTGTTGTGTACCAGAGTACACATGCTTTGCTGTGTTTATATATATATATATATATATTGTTAGAAGCTGCCCAGAGTGACTAGGGCAACTAGTCAGATGGGCAGGGTACAAATAATAAAATTATCATTATCAGGCAGGCAGATTTAACACCGATGGGATGCAGTCCACCCAGGGAGTAGGTTCGTGTGGCTGTTCTCCTATGCTAGGGATGGAAAGATTTGTCCATTTCAGTTTCTCTCAGGTTCTGGTTTTTCAGTCTTAAGTTCATTTCTCTACATTTCTGCATCTGTTTGAGGAGTTAAAAGAAAACTACCCGCCGCCCCAAATACAGGCCTCGTGAAAATTCCCAAGCGCTTTGGTGCAATTTTCTCTTAATATGGACTCAGTTTTCCCCACTATAATGTTATTTCCACTAATATGTGCATGTTTTGCTTACCTTTGCCTAATAAGCATACCTTTGTACATGTTCTTTTGTTAGAGAACTGTGCCACAAAATTCAGAGAAGTGCAAACTTTGAAGGATATTGGTGTTTTGCAAATTTTGCAAATTCATTAGGCTAGTATTAAACTCCAAATCAAATTGTATTTCTGAGTTTAAACTTTTTCTGCAGGTTTTTCTTGTACTTCTGCAAACTTTGGGTTCCCCCCATGCCTACTGATAGCTTCCTCTTGAGCTGGGATGGTGCCTGTTGGCTCCATAACAATTCGCTCCTGAAGAATGTGACACACTCCCGACCTGTCAATGGCTATTACATGGACAACCCTTAAGCTGCTGTTGTGCAAATCCTCAGTTTTGTGCTCTTTTAGTGCAACTGGGGGCCTCTCCAGACCCTGTGGTTTCCCCAATGAAGAACGTGCCGCTATCATTAATTCTTCAGGTAGCAACACCGTTTCAGTAAGTCACTGATTCTTTGAGATTGCATGACTCATACCTGCCACTGCAGCATCAACCCCCCTGGCAATGGCTAAGAACGTAAGAGCCTTCATGCCTTTGCACCACCCAAAAGGACTAGAAACATCATCTTTTTTCTTTTTCTTTTTTTAAAGAAAGCTGCTATTCTCTGGAATTTGAAATGTGTACTTGGTGGTGGTGAAGCATAACAGCTTCTCCTCCCCCCCCCACACTGATTCTTGAAAAGAGCATCTTCCCCCAACAGTGTCACTGCTGATGTCTGCATGTGCAGTCCAGCTTAAGGTAAAGGTAAAGGTACCCCTGCCCGTACGGGCCAGTCTTGACAGACTCTAGGGTTGTGCGCCCATCTCACTCAAGAGGCCGGGGGCCAGCGCTGTCTGGAGACACTTCCGGGTCACGTGGCCAGCGTGACATCGCTGCTCTGGCGAGCCAGAGCCACACACGGAAACGCCATTTACCTTCCCGCTGGTAAGCGGTCCCTATTTATCTACTTGCACCCGGGGCTGCTTTCGAACTGCTAGGTTGGCAGGCGCTGGGACCGAACGACGGGAGTGCACCCCGCCGCGGGGATTCGAACCGCCGACCTTTCGATCGGCAAGCCCTAGGCACTGAGGCTTTTACCCACAGCGCCACCCGCGTCCCTGCAGTCCAGCTTAGAAGCCACTTATTAAAAAGTAAGAGTTAATTCACTTTCATTATGTTTCTAGTGTTGTGTTTCTAGAGCTGCAAACTGTTTGACGAGACAGACCAGGGTTCAAGTCCCTACTCAGCCATGAAACTTACTGGGTGACCAGTCACTTCCTTCCAGCCTAACCTACATCACAGGGTTCTTGAGAGGATTAATTGAGCGGGGAAGTACCACGCGCTCTACCTTGAGCTCCTTGGAGAAAAAGGTGGAATGTAGATGAAACAAATAAAAAAATATTATTAGGATAGCTGCGCCTCTCTTCATTTATGGAGCTCCGTGAGGTATCAAGCTGTTGGAAGAAAAAACTGGGACTAGATGGGGCTTTAAGGAAATAAGAAGAGGCTGCTAGACCAGGCGAATGGCTCATCTAGTCCAGCATCCTGTTCTCACAGTGGCCACAAATAGGACCTAAGCAAAATAGCAGCTCTCCCCACTTGTGATTTCCAGTAGCTGACATTCAGAGGCACACTGCGTCCAACCATGGAAGCAAGAAATAGCTGTAATCTTTTTAAGCTGTCCAAGTTTGTGGCTACCACTACCTCCTGTGGGAGTGTATTCTGTAGTTTAACAATGTGCAGTGTGAAGAAGTTCTTTCTTCCATCCATGAATTCTAGTGTTATGCAAGAAGAAGATATATTGGGCCCTTCCAGATTTTCACCATGTTCAGATGAAATTCGGTCACATGCCCGCAAAAACAGGTCGCACAATTATAGTTGATTGGGAGATCTTGTCCTGTAAACCTTCTTCCAGGTTCATGGCTGAGGGGGGAATGGAACCCTGGTCTCCCAGGTCCTAGTCCAACACTCCAACCACTAACAACACCAGCTGTTACGACTCGAAAGTCCTGACTGATTTTTATTTCAGAGGGGTGGGTGGGTGTCTGACAGATAACCCACTTCAGTCCTGCAGTGGTGAGGAGGGGAAAGCACTTTGCATATGCTTTGTGGCACTGTTTTCATTAGAATCCTCAGCAGTAAAAACAAGTTGAGAGGTTGAATCTTGGCCCAAATTAGACCCTTTGCGGGTGTCCTGGTAAGAGTTTGCCATTTTGAATGGAAGTCTGTCGGCGAGGGTGACAGGTGACTTATTAACCCTGGCTAACATGTTAGCTAGAGAAAACGCTGGATCTCCACTTTTCCTTTAACCTTGCAGAAAAGAGTTCGTTTACTTTTGCTCCTCTCCTCCCCTCATTATTTGATAGTTCTTTAAAGAGTTGCAAGTTTTACTTTGGCTGCTTTTGATCAGAAGGAAACGGCAGTGCTGGAGCCGAAGCGCTGCAGTGTCTCTGGCTTTGAACTCACCAGGTCTAAAAGCCTGCAAGAATATTTTCCCTTTCAGCTTTCTAGCCTGGCTCATACAACTTCCTGATAAAGGGATATGTTAAATTGTCCTTAAGGACGACTAGAAAGGTAAGCTTTCCCATCCAAAACTCACAATGGAATTGATTAAAAAAATAAAAAAATTACGTACATTAAAAATTTAAATGTTAGCCTTTTGGAGTAGAAATTCTTTCTTTCCAATATTCTGCCTTCTAAAAAAGTTTTTTTTTTTTAAGTGCTAAGTTTGTGGTGCAGGCCTACAGCCATGGGTTCAGTCAGTGCGACAGTGCCCTCTAGTGGTATAAGCTTTAATCATAGGTGTGAACTGTTTATTACTGTGACATTTTCCAAACTCCCGATCATGGGCACAATTGCTTTTAGGAATTAGAGTGGGAGGCACGCTCCGTGCTGATGCTAGAAAAGGTTTTACTTTAACACATTTAAAAGTAAGAACTGTCACTGAAGAGTTCACCCGCTGTGTTTCAGTGTGAGTAACTGTTCTGGGTGTGATTTCTCTGAGGATGTCTCTCCGAGAAAGCCAGTGTGGTGTAGTGGTTAAGAGCGGTAGACTTGTAATCTGGTGAACCGGGTTTGATTCCCCGCTCCTCCACATGCAGCTGCTGGGTGACCTTGGGCTAGTTATACTTCTCTGAAGTCTCTCAGCCCCACTCACCTCACAGAGTGTTTGTTGTGGGGGAGGAAGGGAAAGGAGAATCTTAGCCGCTTTGAGACTCCTTCGGGTAGTGATAAAGCGGGATATCAAATCCAAACTCCTCCTCTTCTTCTTCTCCGTATTTGGTGTGAAGGAGACCAACCTATAGCAATGAATCATCCAGAGGCACAGTGGGCACCCTCTTCCATTTACTTTGGAAGTAGGTGGGTGTCCTGAAACAACTCAGTTGGTTAGAGTGTGGTTCTAATAATGCCAAGGGGCATAGTGTTGCATTGCAAGGGGTTGGACTAGAAGACTCTCAGGGTCCCTTCTATGATCTATGAACCAGGAACTACTGGATCTATGTACAGCTCCCCCTTGTGGTGAGCCATTGAACTGCAGGTGGCCGGTTTGCAGTGAAACATCTTCAGGTCCTAGACTGACTCCACCCACCCAGGCTGGCCATTGGAGCCTCTTAGACAAGGAGGAACATAAAAGGGCTTCCTGTGACAACTGAGTTTGGCTTGAGCAGCAGGGCCTTCCTGAACTCTGGTGTGTTCTTGCATTCATGGTTATTCACCAATCTTGATCCTTAACTTGCTTTTCTTTCCCAGTGCCTGGTTTGTCCTTCGGATCTCGTCTACTCTTCAGTTCTATCGGCCAGTTTTTCATGACTCCTAGTTCTGGCTCACTCCAGATTTCTGCCCATGGCTCAGCCCTGCCCAGCTGGTAGTTTTGGAATTACTGATTTATTGGAAACAAGAGCAAGAATGAATTGGGGTAGGTGCATTAAATTGGAACTAATTCTTAATTTGCCTTCTTATAAAAAATGTTTCACACAGCTCCCTCTATTGGAGATATAAAGTGTCGCATTGCATCTAGGAATGGAGACATGGGTAGGCAAACTAAGGACCAGGGGCCAGATCCGGCCCAATCGCCTTCTAAATCCAGCCCGCGGATGGTCCGGGAATCAGCGTGTTTTTACATGAGTAGAATGTGTTATTTAAAATGCATCTCTGAGTTATTTGTGGGGCCTGCCTGGTGTTTTTACATGAGTAGAATATGTGCTTTTATTTTAAATGCATCTCTGGGTTATTTGTGGGGCATAGGAATTCATTCATATTTTTTTTCAAAATATAGTCCAGCCCCCCACAAGGTCTGAGGTACAGTGGACTGGCCACCTGCTGAAAAAGTTTGCTGACCCCTGATCTAGGAGCTTGGTTTGCAGAGTTTGTCTTAGGGAACCTTGGGGAAATTTCCCAACCCAGTCTTTCAATTGCTGGGGGCCTTGGGGAAATTACATGGTCCCCTGCACTCTAGTTTTCAACCTAGCAAGTAATTCCCTTAGCAAACAGGCCCAGAGTTCAAGGTGCTATGGACAACGTATGGGTTGCCAGGCACAGCAATAGTTCCAGATGACTCTAGTGAGTGAAACTCATTAGCATTCTTCAACAAACAGTGAGGAGGGTTGGGCAGGCAGGGGGAGCACAAAATGAATAACCAGCTAATGAGCACTGATTGTGAGGCAAAAGTGGGGAAGAGTGCAGGAGCCTGTGTATGTGAAATGATACCTTGTGCAGGGAATAACTTGCCTGCTAGTGTTTCAGAAGCTGCCTCAGGGACGTCATCTGCTGTTTGAGAGAGAGATGCCTGCACTATTATCTACTTAATGGCCCAAATGATGTAACAATTGATATGGAAATAGGCCCAAACTAAGTTGCTTGTAGTTCAAATCCCAGAGGCTGCTCAAAACTGTCTGCCCAGATTTTATTTAAATTTCCTTTTTGGGGAGCGGGGTTTGTGCAGCCGTGGCGGTTTGTTTGTAATGTGCTTTTCTGAGGCTTGCAAAGAGCACGAGACAGATGTTAGCCATCTCCTATTTCTTTTGAGATGAAACGGCTCCAGACTGGTGTTCTGACTGACACTGATTATTAATATGTCGAGAGTCAACATAGCTGAGGCTCCAGGTGGTGCAAACATCGCCGCCGCCCCCCCCCCCAAGCCAGACAGAAGGCGTATCTTCATCTCAGATGTAAATTGGTATGAGAGTGATTGCTAGGGAATTCTGGGTACTGTAGTTCTATGCCCAGGAGCCCTAATGCAGAAATCTCACCAAACTACAAATCCCAAGTGTTCTTCGGGGAAATGCTGGCTGTTAAACTGCTTTTCTCCTCAGTCTGGGGAACTGGACTCAAACTCCAACCAGTGTGTCAATATGGATGTTATTTATTCATTTAGAAAAATGTCTGAACTGCTTAATAAAAACCAACCAACCAGCTTCTAAGGGGAGGTTCTAATAGGATTCCTTGCAATACAAAACAATACAAAACAATTATCAATAATTCATAGAAAAGGAAAGCAGCAAATACTATTCACATATAATAGGGATGGGAAACCTTTATCAGCCTAAGGGCCACATTCCCTCCTGGGCAACCATTTAGGGACCACGTGGTGGTGGATGGAGCCAGATGCAAACATGGGTATGTGGATATTATATTTAATGTGGGTACATTTTATGTAGAAACCTCTGGCTTATACTGCACAAAGGTAAGAGTCACACCTGTATCATCACACACCTTTGCCTCTAGCCCCACCTGCCAGTGGCATGTTGCAGGTGCCACAAAATACCTGTTCCACATCTGTAAGAGATCAGTGTTGTTTTGTGGCAACACACACACTTTGGAACTCCCTGCCTATTGACATTAGGCAGCTCCCTTCACTGTACTCTTCTCAGTGTCTGCTAAAAAACATTTATGTTTACGTAAGCCTATCTAGAAATGCAGAATGTTGACGTGCTTTAATTTGGTTTTTAGCTTTCTATTGATTTTTATTATTATTTTTATGTCTTAAAAAGTTGTTTTTAACTGTTGCTGCTGATAATCTAATAGTTTTTTTCCTTTTTACAAATTGCTTTGAGGTTGTTGTGTGTTTTTTTTACAATCAAGCGGGATATAAATTGTATTAAATAAATGAAATAAGTTTGGCTCCCAGAAAGTTGCCCATCAGGAAATGTGGCCCTTGGGCTGAAGAAGGCTCCCTGCCTCTGGCCTAAGCAAAAAAGTCCCAAACAGGCTTTCGCCTTTCATCCTTCTAGAAGGTGTGCCAATTGCTTAATTATTGACTTTACGCATTTTCTGCACCTTTCCCAGCTTCTCTCAGTCTATATACTCTTGAACTGCAAGCTCTTTTAGGGACACCATTTTAGTTAGCCGTTTTTTGGCCTTCCTTTCCTCCATCTTCTCTTGGAAGTATAGAAAGTCCTTGCCAAGTTCGTATGCTAAGGAAATCATTGTTTCCAGCAGGGGCATGTAGTACCTGTGACCAGGATGCTTCTCAAGGCGTAGCAAAGCTTTCTCTCCAAATTCATAGGCACCTCTGGAGTTTTCCAGATCTTTGTGACAGACGACTATGGCACAAAGAGTTGGGACCAATAGGGTGGGCCGATGCTTGACAAGTTTCTCTTGCAGAGCTATAACCTCCAGAAGTACCTCCAAAGCTTTGGTAAACTGTCCTCCCCGGAGGCAACTATAGGCCTCCTCCAGTTCCGGTCTCACTAAGAAGTCAATAAATATTCTAGATGTCCGGGTGTATTCCATGGAATACAGAAGCCGCAAGTAATCTTGGAAGGCTAACTTCCTCTCGATGATGATTTCGTCTGTGAAGTTCCCCGTCATACACTTCTTGGGAAATGCAATATCCTCCATTTCATCATAAAACTCCTTCAGAAGATTCATGTGCAGCTTTTCGAAATCTGAATACCGACGCTCAATCACTGATCTGTTGCTGTCGAAGCTGCCTGTCTGGATGACGAGGATCTGGTACGTCTAGCGGGCAACACACAAACGAAACAATTGAGAAAAGCTTTGGTGGCTCAGGAAGAAGGCTGGCACTACTGAAGCCAGCAGCACCATCAGGACATGGTGCTAATACCATCAGGAGTAGATGCCCAGGCCCCCACTCAGCAGAATGAGCAGGAGGGCCCCCCAAACTCAGTAGGGCTGCCTTAACTTGTTTTGAAATAGTCTTAAAGAGGGGCAGTTGTGCTGCCCATTCAGTGCAGATTCTGAACTCTGCAGAAATGATCGTAAATATCCCTATTTGAAAAGGCCCATCTAGTCCAGCATCCTGTTCTCAGTGGCCAACCAGATGCCTGTGGGAAGCCAGCAAGCAGTCCAGAATGCAACAGCGCTCTGCCCACTAGGATTTCCAGCAACTGGTGCTCAGGGACCTACTGCCTCTGACAATTTAGGTATAACGTACAACATGGCCATGGTGGTTCGTAGCTGGTGATAACCTTATTCTCCATGAATTTGTCAAAGCCTGAGGTAGGAAACTGGATTTGGCTGATGGGCTAGAGCTGCTAGACCATTATCTCTTCCCTCCTGCATCGCAAGCCATGTTTGACAGGTGGTCAGGGAGCGTTATATTGCAGAATGCTTTCCAATGGCATTCTGAAGCCCCCCGCAGAGCACTATTTTTCAGAGTGATGGTTTTTCAGAGCACTTTGCAAGCTGATCGTTGGTTCACACAAAGCTGTGTGCACCTTACTTTGCAAAGGGTGGATTGGTGGTGCCTGCCAAACCCCTTTTGGCTGAGCCATGCCTCGCACCTGACATCGTATGACATCACTTGTAGAACAGTGGTGTGGTTTGGCCAAAATGTCTCCAAATGTTTTCACTCATACAGGCTTACATTTGCTTACCACATATTTAGAGAAGGGCTTCTCTACAATTCTGGCTGACGGGATTTCGAAAAGGACCTTGACTTCTCTGCAGTTGCGCTTCTCATTCCGCCAGTATTCTTGGAGTTCCTTAGTTGTCATGGACGAGTTGGGACTTTGGACTCTTTTGTCACCTAAAAGAATGCATATATTTACTGAGTCCTTTTGGGGGTTGGGGAATATGTTCTAAAGTGCTCTAAAGTGTGTGTGCAGCTGTACGCAGACAGATAGATCCTTGGGAAATTGCTTAGGTATGGGTCTGTTTTCAGACATAATAGAAACCTTTCCCCTCATTTGATGACTCCTCCAATATGAAACCATTTCCATAGACAACTGTTTTATTGCACTAAAAGTAGAACATTATAGGGCTACTTCAGAGTTCCTTGGAAAGAGGGAATGATTGTTAAACCACTCTGGGAATAGTGAGAGCTCTGTGAGAGGAATAAGGGTCTCCTAACAACTCTCAGCACCAGTAACAGACTACAGTTCCCGGGATTTTTCGGGGAAGAATGTGGCCTGGGGAGGGTCACAATGTCCAGAGTGGTCTGTAGGGACACCAGCGGTGCTAACTTGAATAAATCGGGCGGGGGGGGGCAGGTAAGCCCTGCCCCACATAATCAATCATTTGACACGGTGCATGCACACCATTTGAATGGCATTACCCATCAACTTTTTTGAGGGGCTGGCCACCTCATTTATTTTATTGGCTGCTAGGCATTGGCTTCTATGAGGGTCACAATCTCTGGACCTGAGGTTTCCTCACCCCTGACTTGCAGAGTTACCTGTCCAGGCCTTACCTGAGATGTCAGTGGGTTCTGTCTGCTCCTGGGTTGGCTGAAATGAAGTTAGGGTTTCATAGCCATCTCCTTCATCTGAATGGGCGTCTTCAGCAGACTCGGCTATAGCCCCTTGGACTTCCTTCTGATGGTCTTGTAAGCAAAGTTGGCCTTCCTCCATTGTGGAGCTGTCAGAAATAGACAGCTATTTCATTTTTTAAAAAAATCAAAGTTGTTTACAACAAAAATATGTAAATACGTAAAAAAACCATACAGTAGAAACATATTAAAAATTTAAAACAAACATCAATTAACCATTGTGGGAAGATGCCCTCTTAATTGCCTGCATAGGCCTGATGGAGTAGAAAAGTTTTCAGCAGGCATTTAAAAGTTAAAACGGAAGGTGTGTGCTGAATTTCTGTTTGCAGAGTATTCCACATTACTGAACTGATGACCTTAAAGACACAGTTTCTGGTTGTTGTCAACCGAATCTCACCAACCTGAGAAATGATCAATAATAATAATAATAATAATAATTTATTATTTATACCCCGCCCATCTGGCTGAGTTTCCCCAGCCACTCTGGGCGGCTCCCAATCAGTGTTAAAAACAGTACAGCGTTACATACTAAAAACTTCCCTGAACAGGGGAAAACTTCCCTGAACAGTGTCAATGACGCTCTTGCAGATTATCTCAGTGATGCAGCTGGGATATAAGGGTTCAGGCGAATCATGTGTACTTTCCCACTTGTCTCTGCCCTATGCCATGTCTCTGGGCCCCATAAAAATCTTCCCTAAAAATGGGTCTCTACATACACCTCCATACATCTCTCTATCTTCAGTGCAGGCAAGCAAAGGGACCTCTTCTGACACTTGTTTTCAGGGCCCACCCTACTCCTGTTACTGTACTCTTAACTTTTAAATTCAGATTTTCAGAGTGTCACAATCCCCCCCTGGGACTTGCTGGTGAAGGGCAGGCAATGAACTGAACTGTCATCATTTCATTTTTTAAATGATTTTATATTTCAAGTAGCAAAAGATACCCAAACAAGGAAAACAGAGCTTAGTAATTGTACAGAGAAGAAAAGAAAAATAGCAGCTGGACGAATGTAGCTACCAAACATAAGTCTGTCATAAGTCTGCCTCTGGCCACATCCACCACTAGTATGTGACCCACAAGGTAACGCAGCCCCTGAATTGAAAAAGGGTTCCCTATCCCAGAGTATAGAGAGTGGAGGCAGATTCCTGCCTCTGTGAGCAAACCCAGGCGAAGACTTATATAGAAAAGAGCAAGAGAGGGTGGCACCACTCCCCTAGGTGTGCGAATCATGACAGCTTGTTGTTATAAATGTGCCTCCGTATGGTGGAACGCAGAGACAGCCACCTACGTCTCTTCCCCTGACATGTAACACAACATCAAACTGTCATTGTGAGTTAACTAAGCAAACTGGGACCAGGTCCCCTCCTCCCCCAAAGCCACTTCAGATGAAAAACGAGCCATTTTTAAAAGTAGGATTCACGTTCGAGCCTTCAACCTTTCATAGCCGCAGTCGGCCGCCGAACCGGTGACATGCTAGTAATTGCAATAGTTCAAATAGCTAAGCCCACGTTTCCGAAGGTGTTCAAAAGCAGCATGAATAAAGAGCCTGTCGTTTTGGCATAGGTGGCACATTAATGGAGGGAGGGGAAATCAATGCAAACAATCAGCTTTAAACTTGCAAAAGCAGCAGCTTCCATAAATGGTCATTAACAAGAATTTCACCTTTAAGATGTGAAAAAAAAGCAGTTAGCCTACTAACTTGCAGACCATTTTTTTCTCTCCCTTTCCTCCCACCTCCTGCTCATTAATGTTCACACTTGCAATCATCTCTAAAGTAATCTATGTATCCTAGTGTAGCCTCACATTCTAGAGTTCTGGATCAGACTCCATGGTTCCTTGGGTGTGGGCAGGGAGGCAGCTGCCCCCCTAAAGTAAGTAAATAAAAAATAATTAACTGATCAGTTGCGTCACAGATCTCAGTTCTGCCCTCCCTAACATAAAGCCTGCACCCATTAAAATAAATCTTGGTTACAACCATGCAAGGTTCTACGTTGCCCACTATCCAGAGGACAGCCAGACATTTCTGGAAAGCCCCTGCTTGAGCTTTTTACTGCCAACAGTATTGTGGAGGAGACTGGTTGGCAGGAACCCTGAACACAGAGCTGGTTCAAAGTTCTTTTGGGGTGGCACCTTCAGGGGCCCCTTTTTGAGTCAGTTTGCCCCTTCCTTGCCACTGTGTTCAGCTGCTCTCCTCCTCTGCCACACTGTTTCTGCCATCTTGCTCTTCCCAGACATGGCCAGAGAGCAAGCAAGGACTGCTCAATTATTCAGTGATCTAGCTAACAAAGGAATTAATAAAAGGCAGAAACCCAGCCACCTACCCACACCCCTCTCCCCATATATATATATATCACACATTTCTGTAACAAATACCTAACTAATTTTACTAACTGCTACTTGGCCACCCACAGATCACAGACATAAAATACTGACCTGGTTAATAATCTAGAAATTGTTTCCTTGACAATGGTTTTTAGAGTCTCCAGAACTTCATGGCAGCTGCGTTTCTGCTTTCTCAAAATGTCCAAAAGTACCAAGTTTCACTTTACATCTCATCAGCCAACTTCTCTTTTTTACTGTACCAAAGAAGGAAGCTGTGTTTGGACTTCCTGGTTCAGTTTATTTGCTGTTTGTCGAGAAGGCGCTTGCTGCAGTAATGAAACCAGGAGAGAAGCTTCAGTGTGTGCTGTTCCACATATTCTGTGTTTAAGAGAGATGGAGATGGTGCCTGTTTTCTTGCTCTGCGTTGGAATAGGGGACTAGTGTGCCCCTCCCCCATTATGTCTCTATTAGCACAATTAGTTTCCCTGCTAATTACATTGATATGATGAGCCAAACATGGCCTGTCCCACGTGAAAACTAGGCAAGCAAATAGTACTACAATCCACGGAGCCCAATTAAATACATAAAAGCAGGAAATGGTTAGCTTTTTTTAGTCTGGTAGCCGCTTTCCCTTCTGGGCAACTTTCTGAGGGTCATGTGCCAGGGATTGGTGGGGCCAGAGAGAAAAGTGGGTAGGGCAACAAATCATCATTATTTTTTAACCTTTCATACAGGTGAGTTTCTCCATACTTTCACATTCCTCTTTCTGCCCTCCATCCAGACAAGCAAAAGGCATTCTCAAAGTATAGGCACGGATGGAGTCCAGCCAGGCAAAAGCACTCAAGGTGTGAAGCAAGGATAGGTGAGGGGTGTGGCCTGGAGGGAAGGGGTGTGGCCTAAGGAGAGCTCCAAGGAGCAGTTACAGGGCACTGCAGGGCTGCTTCTGACCTCTGGGCCTGAGATTCCCTGCTCCTCTTTTAAGCCTTCTACAGTGCAATTGTAAGAATGTTCTATAGGACCAGAGGCATTGTGCATCCATGGAGGAGAGGACCTTTTCAGTGGTGGCCCTCAACACTGAATTATTTTTGGCACCAGTTGATTTTATTTGCCCGGGTTTTAAAAAAACATTTTCCATATTATTTGACCTGGTTGAACAGTTTTAGACCACTTCTGGACTGCTGCCATTTTGTGAGCAGGGTTCAATTGCATAATGTCAAATTGCGGTTGCATAATTAAAATGGGTTTGGGACTCTTATACAACAAACCTACCTTTTGGGGGGGGGAATGGTCCTTTTTCTGGGGTGGAAAGTGTCAGAATATGCACTGGAAAGTGTGGGATAATGATTGCTTGATGCATGCTCACTAAATTACCAGTGTCTTACAAGCTTCTGCAAATTTTGTGCAAACAAATTATTATTATTATTATTAAATTATTATTTATTAAATTTGTATACCGCCCTTTACCCGAAGATCACAGGGCAGTTCACAGCATAAAAATACAAAATAAGAACAGGAAATGCATAATAAAACAAAAACAAACAAACCAGTAATCCCCCCTCCCTCAAACACATTTAAAAGCCCATAGAATGTTTAATCAGCCAAAGGCCTGGTTATAGAGAAACATTTTCACCTGGTGCCTAAAAATATGTAATGAAGGTGCCAGGTGAGCCTCCCTGGGGAGAGCATTCAACAATGAATGCTTAATATGAATGTTGCCTGGATGCACCCTTAGTGTATCACTGTTCGGACTTTATTGTGGTTTGATTCTTATTATTGTATTCTTTAATACTGGGTTGATATTTGGTATTTTTATATATTATCTCAGTTGGCATCTGTCTTGGTTTTAAATTTTTGTATGTATGTGCTGTTGTTCTAAACTGGTTTTTATATTTCAATAGTTTTTTAAAAATACAATTTTATATATGCAGTTGTTTTAACTGAATTTGTTTTAACTGCATATATGTAACAGTTTTAAAAATATGTTGTTTTATCGTAAATCACTTTGGGGTGCTTCATGGGAAGTGATTCATAAATATTATTATTATTATTATTATTATTATTATTATTATTATTATTATTACCACCACTCTGAAATCCATGCTTATTTCAACATAAATAAACATTTACACAGATGTAACTCTTACTTCAGTGGAGTTTTCTCTAGGATGTGTGCAGCCCTAGAGTACTAGACCCAGACTAAAGGCCAAACTTAACACAGAATTTATTTATTTTCCTTTCCTCCTCCTTGGAGTTCTTCGTCGGGAGTTTTGTGTTTGATCCTGCTTGCTGTTTGCCACTCAACGAGCATGCCGGTGGCATGCCATCTGAAACTTATCCTAAATCTGCCAATGGATATGTAACCAAGAAGGAATATTTCCAGGCTGCACAAAGCCCCCTTGATCTCTCTAAAGCAAAAGGAAACGGAGGAGCAAAGAATCTCCTTTTTCTTCTTTTCACTGTACTCAGCAATTTGAAGGCTCAATGGCTTGGTTATTGCCTGATAAGCAGGTCACTGTTAAAATAAGCTCTACTGATGTGTGAGCAGACAGTTCCTCAACTATAAATATAATTTTCAAACGGCTTCCTGTCAAAAACCACAAAAAGGGGTGGTAGAAATCTTCTCGATGATCACAACCGCAATGAGGTCGATCGGTGAAAGAAAATGCGGATTAGAAATGGGTTAGTGTAATAACAGAAGACTGATGAGTACCAATTTACTGTTCGGATTTATGAAAAATTAATTTCCTCCAAGAACTTTGTTTATATAGGACGTACAATTTAAACCTTATTTTTAAATTTCAAAAAGTGGATGCTTTTTTTTTAGTGGCTACGGCTTGAAGCATGTTTAAGCAGTTCCCAAGATACCTGCTTAGAAAGATTATGGGACGATCGCTCTCCCCACTTATGTAAAAACATTTCTTCTAAAGAGATCAAAGTGGCACACAGAATGGCACACAAAGTGGCATTCTTTTTTTTTTTAAAATAATTTTTATTAGTTTTCCAAACATGTAATAAAAACAAACAGTAAAACAAAACAAAACGTACAAACAAATAAACATGTATAATTTCATAAACTCATTTTCCTTCACCTTATTTCCCGGACTTCCCCATACCTCCCTTTTTCTGCATCCTTGTTTTTCCTTTTAACAGCAACCCTCCATTTAATTAATTAACTCATCTTCTTTATAATTCCCTTAAATTTATGATTTACAGCTGCAATTCTCTGTTTCTTAACACCATAACATCTCAGCACTCCTCAATGTTACAACAATTTTTAAGGTATGTTTTAAATTTCTTCCAATCTTCTTCCACTGTCTCGCTCCCCTGGTCACGGATTCTGCCGGTCATCTCTGCCATTCCCATGTAGTCAATCACCTTCGCTTGCCATTCTTCCAGAGTGGGTAGCTGCTGCGTCTTCCAATACTTTGCCAGAAGAATTCTTGCTGCTGTGGTAGCATACATAAAAAAAGTTCTGTCCTTCCTTGGCACCAATTGGCCCACCATGCCCAGGAGAAAAGCCTCTGGTTTTTTAGAAAATGTCCATTTAAGGACCTTTTTAATTTCATTATAGATCATTTCCCAGTAGGCTTTAATCTTCGGGCAGGTCCACCAAAGGTGATAGAAAGTACCTTCAGTCTCATTACATTTCCAGCATTTATTATTGGGCAAATGATAAATTTTTGCAAGTTTGACTGGGGTCATGTACCACCTGTAGATCATTTTCATTATGTTTTCTCTCAAAGCATTGCAAGCCGTAAATCTAACACCAGTATTCCATAACCTTTCCCAGTCATCAAACATAATGTCATGACCTATGTCTTGTGCCCATTTGATCATAGCTGATTTTACTGTTTCATCTTGTGTATTCCATTTCAGCAGCAAATTATACATTCTTGACAAGTTCTTAGTATTGGGTTCTAACAATTCTGTTTCTAATTTCGACCTCTCCATCTGAAAACCTATTTTCCTGTCCTGTTTAAATACCTTGTTTATCTGAAGGTAGTGCAACCAATCTCGTACTTTAGACTTTAATTTGTCATAACTCTGTAATTTAACCCTTTCACCATCTTGCTCTAAGATTTCGCAATATTTTGGCCATTTGGACTCCATATTAAGTTTTTTTGTCTCTTTAGCTTCCATTGGTGATAGCCACCTGGGAGTTTTACTTTCCAGTAGATCTTTGTATCTTATCCAAACATTGTATAGTGCTTTCCTAACAATATGGTTTTTAAAACCTTTATGTATTTTTACCTTGTCGTACCATATATATGCATGCCAACCAAATCTGTTGTCGTACCCTTCCAGATCCAAAATGTCTGTGTTCTCAAGAAGCAGCCATTGTTTCAGCCAGCAAAATGCTGCCGATTCATAATAAAGTCTCAAGTCCGGCAGGGCAAACCCCCCTCTATCTTTTGCATCAGTTAAGATCTTAAAGTTTATTCTGGGCTTTTTGCCCTGCCAGACAAATTTTGATATGTCTTTTTGCCACCTCTTGAAACAGTCCATTTTGTCCAGGATCTGGAGTGTCTGGAATAAAAACAACATTCTAGGCAATACATTCATCTTGATGACAGCAATTCGGCCTAACAAGGAAAGTCTCAACCTTGACCATATTTCTAGATCTTTCTTCACCTCTGTCCAACATTTGTCATAATTGTCTTTAAATAAATTCACATTTTTAGATGGCATTCTTCTTCCCCGTTTTATCTTCACAACAACCCTGTGATGTAGGTTAGGCTGAGAGACTGACTGGCCCAAGGCCACCCAGTGAGTTTCATGGCTGAAACCTGCTCTCCCAGGTCCCAGTCTGACATTTATAAATATTTATACTCTGAATAGAATTTAATTGAGCCATCCCACTGTGTTTTAGGTATTGTATCAATGCTTCAATTTCTAGCACAATATATCGTAAAAGGACACGTTAAATAAAGAAAATCTCAGGCATTGTTGGTAAAGTCCTAGTCTGTCACTGCCACTATTCTATTTCACACTTATTTTTGCTGCATTCCCCCCGCTGTTCTTCTGCTAATGTTGCTCATACCATCTTAACACAATGCAAAATTAAACAGAGAACCCTTATTACAGAAGCTGCCCTGCAATAGTGAACAATTTAAGTGCTAGAAACCAGTTATAGTGTCTCAAAGCAACATGAAAACCACAAGCTAGAGTGCTGGCCACCAACTCAGGTGACTTTAAAAGATTCTGGGTTGTTTCATCCCATGCTAGTCTAGACCTACTCAGCAGGTGCACTGAAGTTAGTGCACATCAGCATATGACA